GGAGGGGGCGGTGCGTATCCACGCGCTTGACAGTCAGTGCCCGTTTCTAGGTCAAGGTAATAGCTGCGTTTACGCATTTGCGAAAACAAAACAACAACAATTGAGTGGTTTTTCTTCTTATTTTAAAGTAAAGTGACCTGAAAATGTATAACCGGACACAGCACAGTAGGGCGAGAAGAATTTTGAAGTTAATAGGTAAGTACCTACATTTAGATTTAATTCTTATAAAAGCTAAAAATAAATTATTCCACAATGACGTGTTTACTGTATAATCAATAACATTGAGCGACTGTCGTCCGACCTTTGTAACCGGAACCAAAACAATATCGTGGTTACACATTCTGAATGAATGAAGGTGCAGTTTCCTCACGATGTTTTATCTTACCGCCAGCTAGTGGTTCAAGTAGTATGTAAGTGCGCTAGACAATTACAGCAATCGTCTGGTCTCAAACTAGGGGAACCTATATGAATGATTCGCTGTCTATTATTATAAAATTAATTTCTGTTACTAACGTGTAATTTTATTTCTAATTTGTAAAGACATACCATAGATGTTATAACAAAATGTGTATTTGTAAATATTTATATTAGGTACATGATACTTTCAAAATCGTTAACTAGGTATTATTGTTTAATCTATACTAATATTATAGAGAGGTAATATTTTTTTGTTTGTTTGTTTGTAATAAATAGGCTCCGAAACTACAGGACCGATTTTAAAAGTTCTTTCACCATTCGAAAGCTACGTTATCCACGAGTAACATAAGCTACTTTTTATCCCCGTAAGTAGGTACCACGCGGGCGGAGCCGCGGGCGGAAGCTAGTATATTTATATAAAAGTAATCGATCTGTGTCCGAAAAAACCGACACAAAGTTTGTTCAACCCGGGAATTGAACCCAGGACTTATACCACTAAACTAACGAGGCGTTATATTTATATACTTACATCTAAAAATCTCAGCCATATCACTTTAATTACCTGGTCTTAAACTAAGGATTCTGTAAAGGATTTGGCAAGGGGTACGTACACTCAGACCCAAGTCAGTTTAGTAAAGTTTGTTTGTTTGTCCGACCGGGAATCGAACCCGGAGCCTTTCGTCCTATAGACAAAAGAAAGAAGTTATTTCGTTAATTGTTACAAATCTTAACAAATGATCTACTGATTAGTTAATCATTTAAAAAAAGTCATTAGTGGTAGTAATCTTCACCGAAACTCCACATTGCTGAATTATTACTGTCAAATTTTATTGTTGATAGTACGAACTTTAATTGTAGCCAAAACTATAATTATAATTTGCCTGAAATAAAAAAATAATGAACACAAAAAATGCATTTCCTTTTTTTCCCTTTAGTCATAAATATTAACTCTAAGTAATATGTGTTAATATGCAGCTAACTTTTCTTTAACATAATAATGGAATAAGTAATTATCTTTGTTTATTTAAGTTACCTTAGCAAGCCCCTAAATTGAAAAATGGGGTAAGTATTGCTAATACATTTCAAACATAATTGTAATAAAGGAAATAATGTAGTAATCTTACTTATACTAGCATAAATGTTTGTATTTACAAGTTCATTACTGCTTTAATACAACATACTTTTTGAAATATTTTTTCTTTTCTGGCAAAGTCTGGCATACATTTTGATACTCAGAATCCTGTATTTCATTACATTTTGAAAAATAGCATAATATTTTTTTTTTACAATTCCTAATAAACTATAAACATTAGTACTAACTTAAATACAACACGCAGTGCAACTTTTTTTTCTCCTTTTTTTGATACAAGAATAATTCTTCTTCGTTTGAAAATAAAGTAAATATGCCCATAAATTCAATTTTTTCGCCATACTGAAAAATCACCATTTTCGTCTTATGCCTTTTTTCCACTGGGGGTACGATTTGTTTATTTAACTTGACATTTCCGACAGTTTATTTGAATTCTGTGTTACAGTGTTCTACAGTTCACAGCGATAGAATGTAACGTCGCAGTCGTAATGTAATACAAATACATCACTTTTAAATCCGCCTGTGTATGTATATGGCACTCTGGTAACCTTCTACTTACATCTGATTCTGTCCCCTCGTCATTAGAGTTAGGAACTTTAGTGCCGTATAGTGTATCTCGTATGCCGTATCTATATAGAGGTAGTCTGACAATCAGAGAGGAGACTCTGAAATTGGAATAGGATTCAATATCTATTGTTAGATAGCCGTTTTTATACATAGTCTTTCGCGTTATTAAGAAATCCTTGTTTTAAGCTAGTCTAGCCAACTCCTGCAGCTGCACTAAAGACAATGCTGGTCCCGCTGCCAGTGGCGCCGCACCTCACATGGTCGTTCAATGAATACGCGAACACAAGCACGCACAAGAGAAATATTTAATTTCCGAGTGTAGGTGTCGCGTGTCGCAGGATCGCTCGTTTCCTGCAGAATGCGCGTAATCCCAGAGATCGATGCCGACGTTTGTGTCGCCGATATTCTTCATGTTCACTCGCACGGACGTCATTCCAAGTGAACGGCCGCGTCGACGCGCTTTGTCACTTTGTTCACGACATTTTGCTGCCGCTCCATCATTTCTTGCAGGTTGTTGACTAAATGCTTCAAACACTTTAATTATTGTACACAGGAAAATAAAAATATTAATTGTAGATATTGAATGTTTTGGGATCATATAACTGAAATTATTCTGATAATGTACTGATTTGGTTATTGTGGTAATAAAGAAGATAATATTTATAAGTATAATAATTTCAATAAATCTTACACTGATTCAAGTTCTGTTTAGAACAAACATAATGTAGTAGCTAGCAGTAGATCTGTCCACCGCCCGGCGAGAGAGCAGTCCTGTCCCCACAGCCCTACATTACGCATAACTTTTGTGTAACAAGGCGATATTACAAAAGTTGTTACAAAACGGCACATTAATTCCGTGTGTGGCGATATTTTATTGTTGTACAAAAAGCGAGCGATACAATTTGCATTGTTCTTGCGGGCGTGCGGCACGTTCCCGCCTCCCGGCGACAACTTCGCAGCGACCGCTCACGATCCGTACACGAGCCGCGCACGATACCAAATATCCTCCGTTTATACAATAGCCGTCGTCATCGATGTACAATTGTAATATTTTCTCCAATTATATTGTATAAAAACTGTAAGCAGCTTCTTCTTCTCTCTATTTAAGTTTTATACTTTTTTAGGCTTCGCACGGGTGCAATATGCATGTATTATACATACAAACCTTCCTTAAGAATCACTCTATCTATTAAAAAAAACCGCATTAAAATCCGTTGCGTAGTTTTAAAGATCTAAGCATATATACGGACATACAGCGAAAGCGACTTTGTTTTATACTATGTATTGATGCATGTATGTGTGTATGTATATATGTGTGTGTGTGTATGGCGCGACTATCTCGCGTTTGTTGAACTGATTTTGATGCGGTTTTCGGAAAAATATTTGTTACACTGAGGAGAAGGTTCTAGTATATGAATTGACCGACTCGGACAGGATGGGGTGGAGGTCGGTTTATTTAAACGTAGTTTAGAAAAGATTCGTTAGATATCTGTGCTTACTTTTTGTTTGATTGTAGGTATTTTTGAAGTCGGATTGGTACACGGCGGTTTTATTTTTTTATTCTACTCTATTATGGATATCTAATGTGTCATGAAACGCCACTCGCAACGTACATCATGCGGGAGTTGTATTGTATCGTCCTCTACACACTGTGTCTCCATATATTGCTCCGACAGACGCATTTTGTTCACGTTGTTAAATTAATACGGCCCGCATTCACACTCTGTGTGTACACACTGCGCACTACTCAAAGCTCCCAGGACAGTACACTCGTCGTACTCTTACAATACACAGAAGTAGAGCCGCGGCCGCGTCGCGTCGCGGTTATATTGCTGCTCAGGCTCTACTGGAACATTGTGGGAAATGAATCAAAGTTAATTGAAACTGACATAAGTTACAAATTCCTAGCACTCCACTCGCGACTGCACTCTACGTGCACAAACATTATGAGATTTATTTTACAGCAATATTAAATGCATGTAAATAGCTACAATACATTTATATAGGATTATTATTCAAACAATATCTGGTTAAATACCTGTGTTCAATGAAATGACAATTGTTTCAACACTGACCTATCTTGTACTTAGTGTTGGTTGATAATTGAAATACAATGACATTCACTGGTTAGGGAAATAGTCCGACAGACGGCGACTTCCCAAAATATGAAGCGGAGGTTACTCGCTGCATATCAGTACCACAGTAAATGTAGATGTGAAGCTGAGTACTGCCAGGCGACACCTGTAGCGTGTAGTGATCGTAACAACATGTTGAACGGAGTCTCGCAACACAATGATCGCAGGAACACACTCACTTAGCTAAAGTGATTCACGGATAACTTCGGTTAGTTCTATCGATTATATTATTAAGGAGCACACCGCCGCGCGCCGCCGTGTCATCGCTTTCATGTCTACTGTTATAGTTTCACCCGTTGTGTATTTTTTCATTGAATTATTTCCATTGCCACTGTTCCTCCGTAAGTGTTTAATATTTCAGTAACTTTTGGAATCCAGTACTTTATTTAGTGATGAAGATCTAGGAGCGTTGCTCAGTGCTATATATATGTCCAATATCTGTCACCACTGAGTACAGTGGTGACTGGTAACTAGTATTGTTACTTAGTTAGTTCATTAACTCGACACGCGTCACTAATGGACGGTATGAACGTATTGTCAGCGGCCGCACATGCACCAGTAGAGCTCACTATTTATGTGTGAGCCTCGGCGTGGGTACCTGTAATATTTTTTTTATACCAGAAGTTCCGAATGAGAGTATTGAGACCCTACACGTACTAGACTAGAGTATACAAATTCTTCAAAATATTTCAACGATGTTCTATAATTGAGCTGAGTACAATGTAGGACTCAGCCGAATGTGTTGTAGGTGATGTAGCAACAGTGGTTTAACACTTGTTCGTTGTCTACAGGGTGCGTGCAGTCGCGCAGGATGTGCGCGTGCGCGTGGCGGCTGCACGTGTTCACCGCCGCGCTCGTGCTCGCTGCGCATCTCATCAAAGGTACGTACAGCCGCCATGGCCTTCACTATACGTTCTCAGTTTATTTCAATTGTAACACACCTGTTGTTGAATAAATAACGACGTATGGGTTTTCAAGTATGTACAGAGGCGCGTGCTCTCACAACACAGATACAAATCCGTATGTAAATGCGCCAGTGTATTGTAAACACCGAATAGTTATCGAGGCCGGATCGAGTTTGCGCAACTTGTTACTGTAGCTAATGGATGTTTCGTTAAGTGGAGCAGTGTAAACACCCGACGAGGGTGTTCACTGTACCTCTCGACACCGTTCGGCTGCACTCGGCGGCGCTCGGCACCACTCGGCAACACTCGGCGCCGCGCCGCTCAGTACTCACACACGACACTAGTTTTAATGAATATTTTAAACGTTTGTTGAAACATCAATTCGGAACATTTGCGACAACTCGTCGAAATCTTTTCGTTTATTTATAAGTAGGCGACAATTATCGTCAGCTGCAGTCGAATTCGCTACTTGCAGTTGGACCGAACGTTAACGAACGGCTGTTTAATTATAAAAGAGTCCATTATACATAGGGTACCTTTTACTTTATCGACTTAGACACTAGGCACTGAATTAAAACAATTTGGCAAGTTGTTTCTGTAAACCTACGCTAATTACTTGGAAACTGGCAAATAGTAGTAATTTACGAATGTAGTGAATAAACGATCGGTATATCAGAACTAAGCATACAATGTAAAATAATGAGCGCCGGGGACAATGAAGCGAGTGGCTCAGTGGGTTAACGTGGAGCTATTAACAAATCAAACAGAGTAGTTCGCCGGCGGCACATTAACACCGTCGCCGACAATTTATGTGCGCACCGCGTCGCCGCGCGCACCTGCGTCGCGTGCGCTGTGTCGCTGCGTCGTTCTGTCGCTCTGTCGGTCTATCTGTTGCAACCAGTCTTAGCAAGCGCTACATACACAACGACGTAATCGCATCATAATTATAATGTCTTCCATATTTCTCTTATCATGCGTCTTCCACAACGTATGTATGTATAGGTAAGAATAACACAATTAAACATTAATCATATTCGGAGTTGTGCTCCATCCAGCCGGAGCTGCGGATGATGTAGCGCTACTATGTGGGTCTACTATGTAGGTCTGTGACTCGACGCAGGAGTAGGAACGGAGTGGCTTTTATTCAGTAAGATTTTGACACTCCTTCTCGCCTTATCAAAGGCAGGAATTCATTGCATGAGATTCCCCGCAAAGAAGAGAGTCGGAGGCCATGTTGTGTTCCACAGTTTTTGTTAACGTTCAGTTCGTTGAAAATGTATTACAGCACAGTGTTACAGTAATATCACTACAGACAGGTAGTGCCTGCCTGTCGCCAGGCTGTGCCGTAACAGGCAGACAGGTAACGGGTGGTGTATCCTGTTGCCACTATAACAACAAATAGTTAGGACAGAATTAGTATTTGACGACACAACAAATTTGATATTTTTGTGCGCGTTTCCAACCGGTTATTGTTTCTGTAACGTAAAACAAAAATAAAGCGATTGTTTACAATGAACAAAGTAATTAATTTATTGAAAGTATGTAAGAAAACAAAGATTCACAAATAGTTGAAGTATTGTGATTGTTTGAATGAGTGGAGTGGACGCGCTCGCCATTGTGCCTATGTCTGAGAGCCCGGGTGAGACCCGAGCGGGCTCGTGGGCGGCGGCTGCGTGGGGGCAGATTTATAGTATTGTTTACTGTCACAAATATGCAACAAATAGAGAGGTGCTGTATCCTTTTTTGCTTTTTTAGCGACTCGTGTCTTGTTTGCGCGACACGGAGTGTGGTTTTGTTAATAAATAGTACGTATTTATTTGTTCAGAAAACAAGTTATTTAACAACAATATCACGAGTAAAACAGGTTCCAAGCAAACAAAACTTTAAGGAATTTTCTATTAAAACGGGTCGCCTGATGGTAAGCAAGCAGCGCCATCCATGGACACCTGAAATACCAGAGGCCTTTTAGGGATTAGGAATTTAAAGACTGTTGGAGATTCAGAGATTGGGAAGGGGGTAATTGGGCCTCCGGTAACCTCAATCACACAACAAAACACAATGCAAACGTTGTTTCACGTCAATTTTCTGTTCGGCCGTGTATAACTCGGGTCGAGCCGGTCCATTCGTACCGATGGCTCTCCCACACTTACGTAGATATTGTTATGAAGTTTATTCTCTATCATAATAAACTTAATATATAGATAAGATTGACGCTCATCATCGAGACCAACACCGTAGCACAGTGCTTCGCCGCCGTAGACATTGTTCTATGACAATCGAATAGCGAGTAAGAAAACACTTACTTCCACCGGATAAATATGAATCTTCTTCTTCATTAGATCAACTGAGATATAACTGGATGTTCTTTTAAAAGTCCTTGGTGACATCATCTCTCTGGTTCTTCACACACACATTGACATAGACAGAGACATTTGAACGATTTCCATAACAATAGCTGATGTAAAGAGTTGAGCCGCCACACCACATCACGCTGGAGCAGGCAGCACCAAGCACTATCTGTTTCCATACTTCGAGTTGGCTGCTTTATTACTGCAATATGACAGAGGACTAATTTTTATTCTAATGTCCGTCTATGTAGCTAGGCCCCACTCCTAAACTTTGATTCGTTTTATCTAAGTATTGTGTTTTTATACCACAAAATAAAAAATAACTATTATTAGTACTGATAGGTTACCCACCCACTGATAGGTAAGAAGTCGGTGCCATATGTCTTTTTTAAAAAGAGTTACGAATGGATTTTCTTTCTCGTTCTTCTCCATTCGAATCTACATTTTGGTATGAGCACCAGCTTCACCTAGCTTCAATGACGGACTGACTAACAGACTATGAATTATTTTGTATTTGTTAACGTTTCTGAAGTACCAAATTATGGTTTAATTGAAATGAATGCTTTGACTTTGACCCCCCGGGTCACCACGACTGAGACGACATAATTTTAACAGACAATTACTTTACTTTTATTGTGGTCTCATTGTATTATTTCTACGATACACGTTCAATTTACAAGATGATTCACATACGCAAAATAATTTCGTTTAAACTGGAACAATATTCTAGTCATTGTAATAATTAAACAGTGGTTTTGTCTAATAATATAGTTTTGCGTATAGTGGTAGTAGAAAGACGGGTGCAGTATCTATCTAGTGTCTGGAGTAAGCACACGTCAGACTTCCTTGCAGACGTGACGCGTGCGGCGGTGCGGTGCCGGCCGCGGTGCAAAGTAGACGTGAATGAGCGTGTAATCGCAGCGATCAATCAGCTCGCAGAGTAAGACCGGAACACCGGCCTAACGCGCTGACGGCACGCGACGACCGTGCGCCGCCGCCGCCGCCCGCCGCCCGCCGCCCGTCTCGGCCCGTGCGCCGCTGCTGCCGTCTGCACGCACTATACCATTCAAAATCTGATTGTTTTATGCGCCTGACGGACAAACCGTCTTATTCGGCGACAGTGTTTATAGTTAGCAAGTGTTACATTAACGACTAAAAAATTATCAGTTTTATTATGTCGCGTGCACTTTACTATCAATCTACATACACCTAAGAATATTTTGACTGCGCGGTTAGCGCGATAGCGGGGCAACCGAATGCCGCACACCGGGTAGCGGGTTCGATTCCCGCACAGAGCAACCCTTTGTGTAATCCGCAAAATGTTGTTTCGTGTCTGGGTGTTATATGTAATGTGTATGTGAACTTGTTTGTTTGTAATAAACGCACCCACGATACACAAGAGAAATTCAAATTCAAATTCAAATTCAAATTCATTTATTCAATTGTGAACATAGGTAACATTATGGTCTTAAATAACAATTTTTCAATTGTTCAATTAAACAGAAGACTCTAGTGTGGAGGATCGTTATTTTTTTAAAACCCGTCTTCGAGGTAACTGAGTAATTTATAGAAACGACTAACCATAGAAACTATAAGGTCCTTTATAGAATACTAAGAGAGAGTTTCTCGAATGAAAGAAGTGAGACGTCCATGCATTCATGTCATTCGTTCATCCGTTCATGAAACGTTAACACAGTATTCCTATTTGTTGATTAAATAAACTAGTAAAGTCCTATTAAAACCTTGTTAGATATAAATAAACAGAATCCTTTGTGAAGGATATTAAGTGCAAGTGTTATTCTGGACCTTCAATAAACAAACGGAAAGATAAACGAGTTGTAAACTAAGGATCTCTTACCTGCGCGTGTCTGTTGATACCTACATTTGGGTACTGGGTGAAAACAATTAGTGCCTAAATAATAGTGTAACATCCGATTTCAAGAACATACTCAACATAAATAAATAGTGGACGATAAAACGTGTTTGGCGCGATCACTCAGGCCTACTACTTGCCCGCGCTCACCTCTGTCAGGGGTTCTAAACATTTTTATCTTTTGATTGCCACTCTCCATCATTGCAATGAAGTGCGTCAGTTGTAGTGTGGATTTCAACGACGGTGTCCAATGTTCGTCATGTGGGGGGCACTTGGACTTTGCATGTGCCAATATTACCGAAGTTGGCTGGAGGAAACTCGGTAATGACAGAAGAGCCGCTTGGAAGTGCCCAAGGTGTCGAATTGCCTCACCGGCCCGTACACCTATCCTATCACCGATTCCGACACCTGAACCTGCATCACTCGAGACTATCTTGAGTGAGATTCGGGAGCTTAAGATGCAGTTGGCTGGCCTTCCCATTTTGTCCGAGGATGTGAAATTGATGAGAGAGGAGCTGAAGGATCTCAAAACAAGTCGTGAATTCGATGGATGTAGGTTGGATGAATTCTCGGCAAAGCTTGCAGGGATTGAGTCCAGAGTTGTTAAACTAGAAAACCTAGAGGAATCTTTGCTCTCGCTACAGACAGATGTCGACACCATCAAGTCAGAATCGGCAATGAGTGATCAAAGATCAAGGCTAAATAATGTCGAGATCAAAGGCATTCCGCAGAGGAAGGATGAAAACCTCTTTACT